GGGGGGGGGGGGTGGCGAAGGGCTGGGACGCCTTGGGCCTGAACATATTGAGAGGCATCGTGGCCCTCAACATCCTAACACGAAAATGAACCAGAGGAAGAACGAAGTGGCGGGAGAAGGACTGGGGAATATGCACATGCCACCAAGACCTTGTTTGAAACCGAGGCGTCCCGCAGTCTAATTATCTGGGTAGTTGGCCACCGCCGCGGATGCTCCTAGTCTTCCAGGTGAAGTTCGAGGCCCTGCCCAGGTCTTTTTCTTGCTCTGTTCTTTGCTTTTGACCAAGTGCTCCAAGTTTCCATTAAGTCTCCAGACCTCTTTTGGTGTGGCTGAGCGGCAGTAACTAAGATAAGTTGCGGGAGCCAAGTGGAGTCTCCCTTGGGAAGTCTCGGGACTGAGGGCGGCCTGGGAGGGTGAGGGTGTCGGGGAGACTTTATTGTATTCGTTTTGATGGCCAAGTAGGGACCGCCAACAAAGGCGGCACCCCCTCCCCCCTCGGCCGCAGCGGCGTTAGTTAGACTTGGGGGCGATTTAGCTCTCTTGTGTGCAAAAAACAAGGCGCCCTTTGTTGTGCGGACACAGGTTAGGAAAGCGTTCAAGGAAAAACAAAACAAAACTAGCCATCCTCATGCAAAGTCCCCGGGGCCAAGCGAGCACCGACTGGACTGGGAGGCGAGAAGGGCTTTTTTCCTCCCGCATCTCAATTTACTCGGTCCTGGCGATTCGACTCCGGCAAACTTCAGCAATGCGCTCCCTTTCTGTTTGACGTCTGTGCTCGGTAGAAGTTTATTTACTGCTGTTCCAAACACACCCGGCTTTTAAAAACAGGTGGGCGTAAAAAGGCAAAGAGAGACGCGCGGTGGGGCTGGAAGCGCCAGATACTTCTGATGTCTGCCGAAGAATAAGCTTTCCAAAAAACATTGTTTTTTGAGTTCGTTTATTTTCAGTGGAGCCGCTTGTAAACGATCGTTTTTCCCCTTCCCTTGTTTATCTGTTCTTGCAGATCAAGGATCCATTTTGTTGGACAAAGACGGGAAGAGAAAACACACGAGACCCACGTTTTCGGGCCAGCAGATCTTCGCTTTGGAGAAGACTTTCGAACAAACGAAATACTTGGCGGGGCCCGAGAGAGCTCGCTTGGCCTATTCGCTGGGGATGACGGAGAGTCAGGTCAAGGTGAGTGGACCTTGCAAACGTCGAGGGATGTCCTTCCAATCCCCAGCGCGCGCGCGCACACACACACACGCACATACACACGCACACACGCACACCCTCTAACAAACAGCCGTCCGGGGTGCGGATCTGAGGAGCCGGGGGAGAAGATGAAATCAGCGAAAGGGGTGGGAGTGGGGCTTACAAAGGCCCTGGGGTCTCCAGGCGGGCAAACTGTTGATGAACAAAAGGAATCAAGCCCCCGCCTTTGAAATTAGGTTAATCTAGATAGCAGCATGTGCTGGGGGAACTCGCCATTATTAGAGAATAAAAGCATTACCGAAATATCAGCCCTGAGAATAGATCAGGCCAGTTAGATAGCTCCTATTTATTCTATTTGTAAGGATATTCAAGCTTTTGTTTGTCAATTCAGGCTCCGCGAGTTATATGATTTCCTGATGTAAATCAACCTGATGGAGCTACTATATTAACTAGCAGGTTAAAACAATATCCACAGGATCCAACCACTTTGCAAGGATGAATCTACTTTTAGTTTAGTTGAAGGCCATAACTTTGGAATAGCAATTTTCCAAATGAATTGACATTATTATTGTATTATGAAAGAATTCTAAGTTTATCAACACTTGTGAGATATATTACAGTCTGTGACATTTTATAATTAAAATGTCACATCTTATAATTGAGTTATACAGTATATTTCCAGGGAATCAAATCTGAGAAATCTTTCCCTGAAAAATAAAAGGATTGAGCCATCGAGGTAAATGAAACCTAATGGTTTCCTATATTTCCTGTATTCCCTTTTGTTTCTCTTCTTCAGTTTATTATAGTTGGGACTTTTGGGGGGGGGAGAGTGTCTGTTTTCATTAGTAATATTGTTGCTTCTTAAATTAAGTAGGAATAACTGTTAGCCACGTCTGCTGGTTAGAGTGTATTTCCCCCGGGGGGCAAGCATCATAAAATGCATTTCAGGAGTGATTTTGTATGTGACCATTAGAATACCATCACAGTTAAAATTATTTTTGCAGTGGTTGGTACAGAGCCTACCACAGTAATCTGGAAGTCTTCATTTGTCACCGTAAATATGTCTATGTGGCTGGAAGTGAATTATTATAGCTGTATAAGGAAAATAAAAATCGCTTTCTTCACAATTCTGATTCTCTAGATAAAATACATAACGGATGAGAAAATGGATGAGATGCATAAAGAGAGGATAATGTTTGGGAAATTGGTTGCTTATGGCTGATGCTTTAGGTTAAAATATGTATATCAAACATGATCTCAAACATTGTGAATAGGCTTAAAATATTTGTTATATACAATACATGTCCTGGAGAGGAACAAATTAAAATAATATTTGAAAGACTAGGCATGCTAACAGTGGGAAGTAATGTAATCAGCAAAATTTCACTTTTAAAAAATAACTAATGAAAATTCTAGCTTGATTTGGTTTTATGAAAAACATTTAAGTCAGAGAGAGAGACACACACAAACTTCTGTGATGATTTTGGCTAACCTATTCAATATTTTCATGCATTCATATTGATTATTATTAGTGATTACAGATTTCCGGTCTTGGCAAATCTTTTTTTTTTTTTTTAACTTTACATGGTACATTACAAGTGTAAATGGGGAGGGGCGCGTTTACCTACCGTGTTTGTGTGGATTCAGCCTTGAGATACGTGAAAGAGACAAATATCCAAACGTGAAAAGGAGAGCAGAGGTGATGGGGCCGAATGCTGTGCTTTCTCCCGGAAATCACACCAAACAGCAAGTACACTTCAGGCTGTTTGAAAGTCTTAATCTCAGAAAGTAAATAGCAAATAAAATCACAGTCATGATAAGTCAAATCTAGGAAGGTGAGAAGTTCTCGCGTTCCGACTGGAGAGAGGAAAGCGGACTCATTTTTAGGGGAACTTATTTTCAGTGTCCAAGTTTTTTCTCTTCTGAGAGATCGCTCACTGACAACTTCAATACTCTTGTGTTCCTATCGCTATGGCAACGGCAGGCCGTCGATCGGTGCCTGACACCCGGAGGGAGCTGGGGCGGTGGAGACGGACTTTGGCGGCCCAAACAAGGGAGGTCTCTGAGGGAGGGTGGCGGGCTGTCAAGGGCCCGCCCGCAGGAACGACCAGGGGCAAGTGGGCAAAGCAGCGTGTGCCCGGAGCGGCTGGCTTTCAATTCCTTCCCCCACTGTCTCCCCTCGCCTCCCCTTTCTTGGCCCTCAGGTCTGGTTCCAGAACCGCCGGACCAAGTGGAGGAAGAAGCACGCGGCCGAGATGGCCACGGCCAAGAAGAAGCAGGATTCGGAGACCGAGCGGCTCAAGGGGGCCTCGGAGAACGAGGAGGAGGACGACGACTACAACAAGCCTCTGGACCCCAACTCGGACGACGAGAAGATCACGCAGCTGCTGAAGAAGCACAAGTCCAGCAGCGGCGGCGGCGGCGGCCTCCTGCTGCACGCGTCCGAGACCGAGGGCTCGTCCTGAGCGCTCGCCGCCCCCGGCGCCTGCCCGGCCTCGGGCCTCCGCCCCGGGGACCGCGCGCGCCCCGCCTTCCCGCCCTTCGGGGCCCCGAGGACCCGGCCCCCTGCCGGGGCCCTTTGCTATTTTCTGAGATGTACATATCTATTTTTTTAACCTACAAGTTGAGGGGGGCAGGGGGAGAGAGACACTCGGGGGCGGAGGAGAAGGCAGAGAAGTCACGGACACTGCGCGGATAACGCAACCGAAACCCGCCTCGGGCCACCCTCCCAGCCCGCTCGAACTGAACGCGTATCGGGCGGAGCTGCCGCGGGAGCCCACCGTCCCTCGCGCCCGGGCCCGCAGTGACCGGGGCAGGGGCATGAAGGTGTTCTTCGAGGCTCCACACCCGGCGCGGGGACCGCAGAGCCACGCGGGCGGGCGGCCGCCCCAGATGGGCCCCCCACAAAGTGCTGTGCCGACTAAAGCAACCTGTTGAAGGCTCTTTGTAAATAAATCGTGAGTCACACTGACTAGAAGTTACTTTATTGTGAATATTTAAAATGTAAAATGCCTTTTTGAATTTGGTATAAAAAGACGGCCCTCAGCACCCCTTACCCCTTTAAAACTTCTCAAAACCACACGCTTTATTTTGAACTTAATTTGAGAAGCGCAGAAAATTTCCCCCTTTCCTACTCCACCCCCTCTCCTCTCGCTCCTCTCCCGGGTTTGGATTTGTTCAATCTCACTTTTCCCTTTGTCCCTTACTGTTGGTCCCTGACCACCCCCTGGCCCCGCGCCCCGCTCCAGCCTCCAGGACTTGACGTAGAAGACGTGGAACCAGGGAAGGCCTCAGACCTGTCTCTCTGTTCCTCTCTGAAATTGCACAGTCGTTTGTTGCTATTTATTAGTGATTTAAAGAAAGTATTGGGGAGGGAGGGGCTACAATAGCTTGTATTTAATTTAATTCCTTTCTGATAAAAATGCGTGTTAAAGTAGATGGTGGGAATTGTTACAACTGCTCTGGGTCAGAAACATAAAAATCCATTTAGTTGCTGTAATTGAATTTGAAGTGTTTTGTATCATAAGAATACTATAGACTATGTATATTGTTTTCTTTTTTAAGCTAATAATGGTGATATATTAGCATCTTTAACCTTTATTAATTTATATAAGGAATTCGGTTTGTAAAGAGAAGAGAACCCCCTTTGCAAGACCAGTTAAATGTAATGCACTTTCTGTTTCAAAGGATAAATCAAATTAAAAAACAGTTTGAAGACGTCTGTTGCCTTGAATGGAAGGGTACAGATCATCTGATCTCACCAGAGATCTCAAAAGTCAAGACCACAAAATTGTTATATTGGTTTCTTGGGTAAAATAGCTGCTATTTATTTATTTATTTATTTATTTATTTATTTATTTATTTATGGGGTCGCATCTCTCATTCTTTTGGATTAGAAAGATTAAAGAAATGCAGCCCCACTCCTATGGCTTCTTGAAGAGACTTGTCTAAAAGGCTGCTTCTGATGTCTGTGTTGTCTAATTTTTTCCTGATCGCTTTTTCCTTCTGGAGAGAGTCCCTGGAGGGTTTTAGGAAGGCCTCATTTCCATATATCCAAGATAGTTCCTTAGTGGAGCCCTAGCTCGCTTAGCTGAGAGGAGGCAGTGAAGCTTGCTGGGGCAACAGCATTGCTGTTTGATGTTAACATTTACCCACCCCCTGTAGCTTGGAAGAATGTTGAATTTGGTGGAAAGACAGGAACCTTGATTTTGTTAAACACTACAATAAAAAAGGATGAATTTAAAGAAATCTTCTTCTAACTTATGCGAAAGTCTTTAGGGTTATGGAATCAATGTCACAGCTTCTGTAGCTGAATTTTTGCAGGGGTGGAAAAAAAGGAATCCTAGGGAGAGGGCTGTATCACTGTCTTGGGATCTTTTTGTTTTCAGACACTCAGTTAGAGCTCAGTGAAATATAGTTATCCCCTTAGTGTTTCAGGTTAATGAGCTTGTGTTCAAAGAGAGAAAAATCAATAGAATTCAGTAGATTCTTCAGGCTAGCGTTAGGTAAAGAAAGTGTGGGTCTTTTTGCTCCCTTGGAAAAAAAAAAAACTGAAAACTGGGAATGAGATTGCCTGAAAGAAATTATTATAGAATATATTCTTGATGGTATGGTGTAATGGAAAGAAAGGATGCAAATCTGCCGTTTCTTTTCTCTAATTTGTGAAGTTCCCAAAAGGTTTTAAAGTTCCAAATTTGCATTCTTAGTAAGACTGAGGTGTATATCCTATAGAGAGGCAGATATTTCAAAAGAGGTTTTGCTGTGCTGGGGTGATGTAATTTGAGTCTTAGCTATAATAAGAATTTCATTTTTTCCTTCCTTCCTCCCTCCCTCCCTCCCTTCTTTCCTTCCTTCCCTCCTTTGTTCCTTCCTTCCTTCGTTCGTTCCTTCCTTCCTCCTTTCCTCTTCTTTCCTTCCTCCTTCCTTCTTTCCTCTCTTCCTCTCTTTTCTCTCTCTTTTTATGAAAGAATCTGGGGAGAGGGCATTGTGGAAAATCTATTATTGTAAAACTGTGTGCTTTATTACTGGTTAATTTGCAACCAATGAAAGTGTCTTATCAACTTCATTACTACTTTTTAACCTTTTCTGCTTTGAAAAGGCAAGCAACTTTTTACTTGTTCCTTCTTCCTAAGAAAACAAAAATTTACAAGATAATTAGAAATGCTAATCTTGGAATATAATTATTATTATTATTATTTAGTAGTAGTAGTAGTAATAGTAATATGGTAATATCAATCATAGAAAACTTGGAACCAAGACTGAAGCTTTCTTTCAAGAAGCAAATAGGGTTACAGTATTTATTCCAAGTTAGAAATGTGGAAAGACACCTCTTCCAATTCCTTTAGGAAGCATTCCCTCTGAGCTCTTCATGTTTACATTGAGAGCATCTGAGAAGTGAAGTTGGTGGCCTAGCCTCCGTCCTACAGGCACATATACAGAGGGCAGACACGGTCTTCATGCTTGCACTAAAGTGCTCTCAGTTGTGTGGGTGGCAGCCAGAGTCAGGCTCTGGGACCATGCTGCACTGGTATTTGTTCCTTTTTTCCAGTTGACTGCAGCAGTGATTTGACGTTTCCAGTTAATTTACTTTCACCCAGGATTCCAGCTGGCCACCAGTTGCAACTGGTCCCATAAGACTGGGAATAAGGGATAAGTGGGTGGGGGACAATTTACTTAGGTGCTCCTTCATACTGGTTGGTTTGATTTAGTTCTATGTACATGCAATAAGAATTTTTTTTTTTAAGTTAGCTTGGTGGGGAAGCCGAGGCAAGTAAGGCAGAGTAAGAATCATTTTCCATTTTGACTCCAAATTTTTATGGCATTAACCAGCCATAAGCATCTGATTAAGGCTGCCAACCAGTCATTACAGCTAAAGGGGTCATGATTTAAAACCAAAGTAACAGCAAGTGACCTGATGGACTACTTTTATTTTTAAAATGTTCCCACTTTTATTGAGATATAACGTATATAACAATTGACATGTCAATTTAAGATATAATGATTTGTATTATGCATATATTGTGAAATGATCACCGTAAGAAGTCTAATTAACATCCATCACCTCACACAGTTACAATTGTATTCCTTGTGATGAAAACTCTCAAGATCTACTCTCTTAGCAACTTTCAAATATACAATATTGTTAACTGTAGTCACCATGCTGTACATTACATCTCCAGATGTTTTCTGCTTTTGACCACCATCACCCATTCCCCACCCCAGCCTTGCCCCCCTCCTCCGGCCCTCGCAGTCAACCTCTACTTTTAAAAATGCAGCCAACAAAATGTCAACGTGGAAACAAAATAAGAGAAACAAGGATTTGTGTGTGTGTGTGTGTGTGTGTGTGTGTGTGTGTGTATAGTAAAAGGAAGGGTAAAAATGATTTTTCATTTTTGTTTTATAGTGTTTCTTTTTCTAAAAAAGAGAGAGTTATTGAGGTTGGGTGAAGGATATAGAATGGAAGGGGAGGACCCTATCTAGGTCTCTCAGATGTCCCAGCAGGATTTATAATTTGCAGCTTCTACATGTTATTTTCCCAGTCCCCAAAGTCCGTGTTCAGTTCTCCATTGGTGCTTAACCTTCTCTTCGGTTCATATTCAGATGATTCTGTAACTGAGAGTACTATGCCTTTCCCAGAAACTGTCGTATAGTAAGTGAGTGGCTTTCCAAGCTTGTGAGCACTTTAATCCACTTTTCCTTTCACTCCTTGGGAGACAGTGGGAAGAGGGGGAACTGAAAACTACTCATTCTTTTCTGGAAAGACATGCATTTCATCATTGCTTAGTGTGCAGGCAGTTTGGACTGGAGGCCAGCTCTTCTTGGAAATAATGTACTAGGCAGGAGAGTCTGAGTGCGCATTTGAAAACTTCTGGAGCCTAATGTCATGTACATGACTATGTTATTAGACCAGCATCAACTTGGCTAGTTCTGCACTGTCTTGTCCTTTAAGCTGGCCATCAGTGGACACACACACACAAACACACACACACTAGAGAGGTGAAATTCCACTTGGGAACTCATAGCACTGAATAGCTTAAAGGGACAGTGGCTCCTTTGTTAATCATTGACAGTAAGATCATGTAATAACAACAGAGGTAAGCAGTAGATTTCATCTATAAACTCTATTTTAACCTAATTTGAAGAGCTTTCTCTGCACTAAATTTCCTTGCTCTTACCATACACACAGACAGATACATGCAGAAACACTCTTCTCCCCTTTTCAGTACGACCTTTTGAAAAAAGCCAGTTCCTGAGTACACTTCCTTTTTTGACAGGAAAGTCCATATTTTGTTCTGCAGTATTTAGACTGCAAGCTCACAGAGAAATACAATATTCCTAACATAGCCCTTTTTCAGATCTGCAGAAAACAGAATGATATAACCCTTCTTCCCAGTTGATGTAAAGTCTGATGAAGGAGTAGAGGAATGGTGTGAGGGGATGAGAAAGGGATGGGCTTTTTCCTGAA